CCTCGAACTTGACGTTGGATAAGCGAGATTTCGTTCGTGTAAAGTTTTATCTTTTCTTTGTTTTTTTTTTTTTTTTTTTTTTTTTTTTTTTTTTTTTTGTAGCTGGAATGCCCGTCTTTACGTAAACGGTTCATCGTCTCGGCTAGATATATTAATTAATTACATCGCTAGCCTATCTGTCATTTCATTCCAATAATTAGACGCCGCCTTACACAAATAACCGCAAAAGTAACGTTTCCTATTATTATCAACGGAGATTACACCTCTAATATCACATACGGAATTACTCATTAAAACTAATTCTCAAATAAATTAAAAATTCAAATTTTACTATACTCGGTACTTTTAACAATAATATCGCGTAGAAAAATGTTGCTCTTTCAATATTCAATATATTGTCTACAACTAACCAATATTCGATATCTGTCGATTTATACATTGCGTGACAAGTGAAACTAATCAAGTCAACCAATGAAATTATTAGTCATGCAATAACTACGTTCGATCGTTTTAATTTCAAAAAATCAGTCGATCTTTTTTCTATATGTTTAATAGTGATCAATTGGAGTTTGCAATTATTCGCGATTTTTCGTTTCGTTGAAATGTCAAAATGGCTTATTTAGATCGATTAATCAATTGCACGTAATAACTTTTATATTTCTTATTTATCGAGCTTATTCATTCTCGCGTTACCAGCTCTTATCGGTAAAATATTTCATTCATCTAATGAAATAAATTTTTTAAATATACCTTCAGGCACATTCTAATTACGCGTCGCAAATATGAGTGATTAAAAACTTAAACTTTTACACATTAGATGCGATGTGACGAGTCATAACTATGCTCAAATTAATTATTATAAGAATTAATTATTACCGATGAATAATTGAATAATGAATTCGATCCTACGAAGCACATTGGGTGGATGAAATAAAGACAAAACATCATCATAACGTTTCTTTATTGTTAAAAAAAAAAAAAAAAAAAAAAAAAAAAATGCAATATTAAGACGATCGTTATCATAAATAAGTTAAAATTGATACATTTTATAGAAATATATCACATAACGTTTATAAAGTTTTTTTTATTCCTAAAGAGAGGTAAAAAATAAAAAAATAATAAAAAAAAAAAAATTGTGAATACATTTTGACTATAATGCTATTCACACAAGAAATCGATTAAAAAGCAATTATTTAAGCAAAAGAAATCACAGAGAAATCATTTATGTCGTATAGACAACTAAAAACTTGTGGAATGCCTAAAATTACTAAATGAATTTTGCAGTATTCATTGTGTAACATAGAAGCATTATATTTCACACGACATGTTCGTGTATTTTGAATATCTTTGGAATTTTCTTAATCAAAAGTAGAAAATGGAGTGATCAGTGTCTCGTTAAAAATTAGTCTAATACAGTGACATATTTCATCGATTCTTATCACATAAGAACAATGAATTTAAGAGTCTACTTTCTCACAGCCTTACAAAGTATTTGCATTAATTGCAATTTTATCATAAAGTATATCATTGACATAAAAGAGAGATAGTGCATGAGAAATATCATTTTAAATTACAGCTTTATAAAAATGCGCATGTCATAGTAAAGTTTATATAAAAAAAAAAATAAAAAAACGTATTTTATTAGTATAAAATTGTGCGAACTTGATAAGTGCACAGAAAAAATACTCCAAAATTCAGTGATTTTTTTCCCCTTTGTAATTAGAAAAACGCACAAGCGTACAGTCAATGCCAAAAATTCATTGTACAAGAATGTATAAAGCACAGCCACTGATCACTCTTTATAATTATAAAGATCTACATTTGTCGTACTTAGTAGTAGGATAATAGCAAGCTATTTGCCTAACACAAATAACAGGACTTGATTATTACTTTAGATTACACAAATAGCTTACAATTCAAAATATCTTTCTTCGGTAAAACAATATAAAAAGCACATGAATACAATAAAAGCACTACCAATTCGTTTTGAATTCATCTGCATATATGTAAGAATAAAAAAAAAATATATATATATATATATATGTATATATATATATCTAAACATATGATATGAATTATGAGATAATTATCAATTATTCGCTTTTCTTGCATTCAAGTTTCACAAATAGAATACGTAATGTAAAATAACATATGTAATTAAAAAATAATAATATTCAAACCTTTTTTTATTTAATTTTGTGATAAATAGCTTTTACAGTACTATTCCCTAATCTCATTATAATTTCAAATATGCAATAAAATGCATTAAAAAATAAATAAACTAAGATGTTAGATTTCATTTTCATACTTTAATATTTTATAATGATCTAATATAAGATTCAGCAATTAATGAGATTAAGCAAGTACGTAATTCCTGCGATTTTTCTTTTTTATTCTTTATTATTCTTCTTTTTCTGCCTTTTCTGCATCTTGTTTTTCATTTTCACCTGATGTGTTATCACCCTCAAATTTAGGACCCGGTATCTCTTCTCCCTCTAAAATAATTTCTTCCGGATCGGGTGCACGAGGTAAGAAATCTTCACTTGGATACATGGCTTTAAAAATTTCTTTCGCCTATAAAAAGCAAAGTTTGATAATTAACAATGAACTTTATGCATTATAATGAGAACATTAGTTATTTAAGTATTGTGATGATAAAACATAAATTACAAAACAATTTTTATAATAATAATATGTAAATTTGAAATAATAATGTTTTATAAAGAATTTTAATATCAACTTACCTGATTAACAGCAAAATCAAAATCTAAATCTAGATCAGGACCAGAACAAAGATGAATATTGCTTGGTGCAGACTCGTTAAGTTTAATATCACTCGCTGGTAAATTAAGGTACAAAGACCACAATACTTGAGGCATTGGGTTTTCAATAGTGCCTTCATTGGCTCCTTTATCTCCCTCCTAGAATTAATTCAGGATTAATTCAATTAAAAAAAAAAAATTATAAAAATTACTCGAATTAAGGAAGCATATTAAACTGCCAATTAATGATTACCTGAGCTTGATGTTGATCTGTAGCAACAGTTTGTGTATGAGAATCTGTTGGAGTACGAGAAACATTACTTTCAAGAGTCTTGGCACATAAAAATCTTTTAACAACGTAGGCTAAATCTTCTTGAGCAGTTTTTGTGCGTTTGCACGTCATATGAACCATAACTAGAAATATAAAATTAATTATTTATCATAAAAATGAATGAAATAAATTGATCGATTGCTTTTATGATCAACATTTAATAAATTGAGTCTTTGAAGATCAAGAGATGGAAAAGCTTTTTACTAATTTAATTTTTAAACTAGCAAACCAAAGATTAAAATATTTTTATTATAAAAAAGATTTTATGACTTCGGATTTTAAGCCATCAAACGTATATTAAAAATTCATACTTTAATAAATCAACTTAAATGACAGGATACATTTGATTCATGAACTTAACTATATATATATATGTAGTAATAATAAAAAAAAAAACCAATAAAGCAATAAACATGCATTTAAACAAATTCCACGAGACTAAATATTTAAAAAGTTGATGATAAACTAGAGAAGAGATTTGTCATCAAACTCCAAAGGTGAAATTGAAATTATTGCAACCTATTAATGAATTTCAAATTTACATTTAAAATCAAATCTGACATTTAATTAAAACTTACACAGTCCTTGGGGACAAGCATTCGTTGATGGCCCTAATTCAATAACTGTTACAGCTTCTTGATCCGATTCTTCCGGTGGATAGTATAAAAGTGTTAAATTTTCTTTCTCTCCTTGCATTATTGATCTAAATTGAACAACAATTATTAATAATTATAATTCCTTGATCAATTATTACATTAAAAAACAGCCTACCTATCCGTAATAAAAATACCGCGAGAAATTTGATTTTCGCCAGTTGAGGCTACAATTTCTGGAGGCAGATGACCTTGTCCAACAACAAGATGCTCCAGTGATAGCCTTTGCTTCCCAGTTAAAATAGCTTTGCATTTATCTTCGCTTACTACAACGCCATCCAGATGACGTTTCAGACAATAAACTCCGCCAAAAACAGCGCATAATCTATGAAAATAATTTAATAGTTGTCAGCGTAAACAGACATTACATATTGAAAGATATTTAGATTAATTGATTTGATCGATAATTGATTTGATTAATAAGCTGAATAATAATTCGTTAAAAATGGAAATAACGTACTATATTGTGTTGGAATTTACATGTAATTTACCTGCAAAAACATTGTGGTAGCTCTCCACTACCGTACATAGGCCATAAGAAAGGAGTATTTCCATATCGACCGAGACTATTTAGAAAATGTTTTGTACGATTAACGCCATCTCTACATGACGTTTTGTCTGTAGACATAGCTATAGCTTGCATCACATAATGATTAACAATTGGTGTTAAATTTTTGGTATTCAGGTATTCTAAGAATGTCTTATCGTGGTATCCTACAAATGCATACGAAAACAACATGTGAGCTTGCGTTCATTTAGAAATGTTATCTATCGAACATGGATATTGCTTAGAGATAATACTCTTTCATTTCGATAAAATCGTCGCACTCAAAGAAAGCAAATAATAGAAAGGCAAACGACTTTTGAAATTTATAAATTGTAACTTTCAAATTTTTTAAATTGGATAATCAAAAACATGTTCACATAAAATTACACTAAAATTATCTACCGACTTTTTAAAATAAAAAATAATAGGTTTCATTGAATTTCACTGATCTTTACCGTCAAACTCGGGACTATCCGCACCTTGATCCATACAAGAAGTGAGTAATTTCATAAGCATTCTTTTTTCAATAACGCTCACAGTTTTATTGGCAAATACATCGGCTCGTGAACAAGGAACTTGAATGAGTTTGCCATCCATGCAAGTAGCTACTCTAGAAACTGCACGGAACTCTGCATAACGAGCTATATTACTCGAAATCAAAAGCTCCACTAACTCACCTCGAGCATAAAGAAGCTACAATAATGAAATAGATTCTAATTAGAGAAAAGTTTTAAAAAAAACCCCCCCCCCCCTAATTAATTACAAAATACAGATGATGCTAGTACTGTTCATTAATTATAAATAACCTTTGGTGCTAAGTCAATATTAAATCTTCTATATTCCTTCTTTATACGATCTACACTCCAATGTTTTGTTTCCTTCTTATCATTTTTATCCTCATCGGTTTTCTCAGTCGTGAGCGAGGAAGTATCGTTCGAGCCATCAGTTTGGGTATCTTTTGTCAAAACTAAGGGTAAGTCTGCTTCGCTGAAAAAAAATTGGATAAAAATGTAAAAGAAATTTTTTTTAATCCATGCTTCCGTATAATGATATCATACTGAGAAATAAACCATTCTTCCGCAATGTTTTCTACAGTAGAATATTGATTGCTAGCTTTTAAAAATGTTTCACCATTTTCTAAATCGGGCTTAAAGTCTTTGGAATCGTGTTTACTTATTTTAAGATCTTCCATCCATTTTTGAAAGCCATCAAAATTAAATGTTGCCCACAATCCTCCATAATACTCGTTGCTGCAAAATCATTAATTCCATGAAATAATTATATATATATATATATATATATATATATATATATGAAAATAAATTTATATTTACCTGTCCAAATGTAAAACTCTTTTACCAATTCTACTAGCCGCAGCAGCAACGATAGATTCAGTCATTCCTAAAAATTATCTTAAATAAATACCTTAACATAAGTAATGAAATGCATGCAAAATAAGCATATGAAAAATTGTTATAAACAGAATAAATTGATTGGTTAAGAGCTTGATGAAAAAATAAAATACAAAAAAAATTAAATACTTGGAAAGTATGGGAAATAAAGTAATATGTATCGATGAAATATCGATAAGATAATACAAAAATAATATAAACCTTAAACGTAATAATGCATTTTGCTTCTTTCAATTAAAAAAAATCAATAAGAACAAAAAAAAAGTTGAGGCCGCTTCGGTCTAATAATTTTCAAGGTGTTAGAAAAGCACGTTCGTGAATAGGAGTCGTTCAAAAAAATCAAAATATAATAATAGGAACATTAATTCTTTCGGTAAAACGCAGTTTGATAATTAACTACCGACTAACTTCTAAAATCGACATTTCCGTGTTGGTCGTTCGATGTGACGTATCTTTGTCGAAATAGAGGACCGACCAACACCAAACACACACGCGCGCGCGCGCGCGCGCGCACACACACACACACAGAGGCACTCGCAAATAAAACCTACACACCAATCGAGCAATTAAAAAATGAAGAGAAAAATAAAGAAAAAAATAAAAGAAGAAAAAAGAAAGAATGAATGAGAGAGAGAGAGAGAGAGAGAGAGAGAGACAGACAGACAGAAAGTGAAAAGTAAAATGAAAGAAAATGAGAGAGTACAATAGACTTCAAAAAGGGTAAATGTATTGACAGCCAGAAGAATGGAAACTTATTTAAGCATAGTAGTCGTCATCACCCCATACGCAATGAAAAAATCGATATCGTAATTGGTATGTATGGCTTACCTGTGCCGACGACTATGACATCGTACTCGGTTGGCAGATCGTCATCCATGGCTCCTTTAGCGTTCCTCCGTAGCGCAAAAATGAATCTCACTCACCCACTGATCTCGCGGTCGAGAGATATAATTCCACTGACTTACAGCGGTATTAAAACGCACAGAGAGGGACGGTCGATGGGGTGTGCGAGAGCGAGAGAGCGAGCGAGAGAGAGAGAGAGAGAGAGAGAGAGTAAGAGAGAGTAAGAGAGAGTAAGAGAGAGTAAAAGAGAGTAAAAGAGAGGAGAAATAAATGAAAAAGATATCGCGTAAAGAAGAGAAGACCAAAATGCTCGAGCAAATCGTAGCGACGATTACGACGAGCTCATAGTGACGAGCTGCCGAGGACGAGGTCGAAGACGAGGACAAGATCGACGAGTAACGGGCCCCACAGCGCACTGGGTAGCGATTTCGATAAAAAGCAAAACGTAAAAATTATCTTTCACGGCACTGGTCGGTCTGACGGCGGCGACGGCGGCGACGACGGCAACGGTGACGGCGACAGCGGCGGTGACGGCGGCGGCGGCGGCGGTGGTGGCGGTGGTGGCGGCGGCGACTCGACGCTCAAATCAGACACTCTCCCCAGTCCCCGAGTACCGTACCTAATACTCTCACTCTACTCCAGTCTCCCTTCTAGCTTCTCATCCAGGTTACGATACTCGCGCCTCGAACTGCGCGTGTAAACGCGGGCGGTCCTGGCCAGACACTTGGCCGGCTGGCGCGCACACACACGCGCACTCGCTCTCTCTCTTTCACCTCTTTTTGCAGGTACGTCGAATGAGTCGCGCGGACCCCACTACGCAACGGGCAACGTATACTGGCACCCCCCGGTGCAATGGCGCTTAATGACGCTTAACGACGCTTAACGACGCTTAACGACGCTTAACGACGCTTATCGCACCCAAAACTATCCAAGATCGCGAGCAGCTACTTACTCAATCTCCTCGGCTCGCTATCTCCCAGCATTAGAGTCGCCTTTGTTTCACCACTCCCCCTGCCAACATTGTCCCGTTTGTCTCCATCTCGTTTCAATCGCTGCGCTTCATACGTACTTGCAATTTTCAGCAATCGACTGAAATTATTAGCGTCGATACATTACATATCGGCTTGCATAGATCGATCGGTAGCCGACGAATCTGCGGGGGAGTGTGGGCTACTTTCCTTGGGAAATGGATTTTTTAATTAGCTCGACGATCCTCGAGACCGCATAATCGTGCATTGCCCACGACTCAGATAATCAATGGCGCTTGTACGCTGTGATTGGGGGCCCTTTGGGCTTAAGGTGGGCTAAGCTCCGCTCCACACCCGAGGTCAACGCTGCTCTGTATTAGATGCCATTTAAATTTTCTCCCGTTAGGAAATTGCATTGAAGGCTCGTGTCTAATGGCTAACGATCGATGCATTTGCAAAGTGAATACAATCCGATTTTAACGACTTTGGCGCGAGGGAAGGGGGGCAGGTCCTCGTTTGGTGCGTTCAATTTCCCATTACAAATTTCCCATACAGCTACTAATTTATTATAGTGTCTTTTCTCTCAAAATTCCCGACTCGTCGTTTATATTTTTACCGATACTTTTCACTGTGAACACGACGGATCTTTACTCATGTCGCACGCAATAAATGTCGATCGATCCTTACGAGCAAGTCCTATTAACAATGATTTATTACTGTTATTACTTGTATTAGTTAATTAGGAATTATTATGGTATGTTAGAAGAAATTTAGCACAAGCTCATATTCATAATTAACAGCCATGTGAGAATTCAGAAACGACTAACTTACATTAAGCAAACGTGAATTATTTTACGTTAATAAATTGTGGAAAACGCGTCAACTCGCGAAAAAAAAAAAAAAAATTGACGAAAGTAAGAGCTTAGAGAATTGAAAAAATGTCAATTATTAAAGAACGAGAACAGGTAGATTTGGTCGCGATCAGCAATTCGTGATTCCCTATTTATGTATGATTTTACATTGAAAGTAATATTTGCATTTTCTCTTGGGCTCGTTTCTCGTATGAACCATTTACCGTATCTCGGCTATAAACTTCTTACTCGATCACCTGTTGCATTTAATTTCACTTACCCGTTTAAATAATGTAATTAAACATTTGATTTGATACTTGTGTTAATAAATACTTTATTATAATAGTATTGATAAAGCGTTATACATTATATATTACATAATAACCATATGCTATAAAAAATCGTATAAAATATATGTAATTTTTTTTAAAAAATATCGAGTTAATGTTTATATTGTTTTCAAACTTAATTTTAAAATTAAATTAAAAATGAAAAGGATCAAACGTGTATGGTTTAAATTAATTGTAAATTAATTTGTACGTTAAGTTCTACTTTGTAATTAACTAAGCAGTTGCTCGGACAATGTCATATTACATTTGTAAATCTACGATCTCAATTAAGCTTTAAGTTACAACAATTATTAACGTATAACTAGAACGCTAAAATGAAATACATATATCCGAATCTTAAAAAAGAGAAAGGATAATTGATATGCCAATTAAATTCGATAATACCGTTAAATTTTAGATTTCGACAAATTATTCTGAGACGACTAGTAGCGCACTCTTACATGAAGAATTTCTATGGTCTGGAAATGTCAAGTGAAACGAGCATTTGAAAATTAATGACATTACTTTTTAAATAATCGTATAATGCAGATATTATATTTATGTATACACGCATGTTTGAATAAAATTGAATCTACATTACACCACGCATTTATGGCGTATTGTAATAAACCCTATTTTGTTAAATTAAAATACATTGGATACAATTTAATTATCTTCGCATTAACGTATCCTCTTATTTCCTTAATTATTTCCCCCAAGCTCTTTAGAATTATAGATATTAAATGAATATGTCATCCAAGTATTTGTATTTAAAGCATCCGCGATTCACGATTACCAAACAAACTCGTATTACTACAAGAGTAGTAGTAGTTTCAATTTACAAACAATTAATTCAAAATTAGCTATACACACAAATGTCTCTTCAAGAGTATAATTAAGCTGCGAATTCACTATGTTGTAACTAATATAATGCAATGTTAAACATCTCATATTTTCATTTCCAACTTTTCACAAATTAATTAAACAAATAACAATGCGATATAATTAACAATCAAGCTTGAAGTAGAAGAAGAAGTAGATGAAGAAGAAGAAGAAGAAGAAGAAGAAAAAATAACCTTATTATTTGTGTGTGATGATTGATCTACATATTTTGAACTTACTTGTATTAGCTTGCTGATTTTAAAATATACCAATAAATAATATTTACACTTATTATTTACAATTATTGATGCTTTTTACATTATTATATAATAATTAAGATTTATCACAAATGTAGTAATCATGAGTAATGATTTTGGTACATGACAAATAAAATTTCAAAAATATGATTTCAACTGATTTTTCAATTTTTCATTCAAATTACTGTTAGACCATGACATTATTGAGCCTATAAATATCTATATATATATATATATATATATATATATATATATATATATATAT